CAATGGGTTTATGGAAATGTTGGTTAACTCTCTATTGCAATGCCCTTAGTAGGTACCATCAAATAGAATTCCATATGGGTTGATATTTAATGGGGCAAGGATTCTAAGGACCTATGTGCAAAGTGCTGGCATCTTAATTTTCAGAGTCAGTTTTCCCATCTGTAGAAGTAAGTGTCTCTGTGATGTGTTTCAACCAGCAGCAGCTCCATGCTGTGAGCTGTATATTATACAAAGAAGGCAATGGGGTCAGGGAGGCCAATTGAAATGCTTATATAAAACGAAAGGAGAGGGTCTTAAATCAGGTTTGACAGATCTTTCACTTCAGTCTTAATGATTCTGTTCTTGGCTAAATGTGCTTGTGAGGTAATTAATTTTGGTGGGATTTCTCGATGGAAGATACACAGGTTTATGAAGCTGGGGGAGTTGATGGAACTTGAAGCAGTAAGGACTTTGAGAAACAGTTTTAATTCTCCTAGAATTCAGATTTCTGGGTCCATGAAGTTGGGGTGACCCACTCAGGCCATCTGCCCTTAGGTGCCCTTTTGAACCTTTAAGGAACTGTTTTCCTAAAGTCACCTTATCAAACAATACCCTAGTAAGCAGCTTAGTGGAGATTGTTTTGCCTTGGGCATTGGGCTCTTTTAGAGAATCAACTATGTGCAGCTGGTTTCCAGGAGCAGGAAACGTAGGGTCTGACTGGAAAATGTATGGCATGTCCTTGGTGACTCTGTTTCTACAACCGACTGACCCTGGAACCCTGCATATGTTCTGATGCTATCTCCTGAGAAATGAACATGGCAATGACCTATATAAACCATTTTCCCTATCCCCTCTTTGGAGCACCTTTGCGATACTTTCCAGGTTGACGCTGCCCGATTAAAATTGTATCTGCTCACAATAAATGCATTCTGTTACACTGATTTTTGGTGTTCCTCTATGCATTTAAGTTTTTGACAACTGGAAACAAATAAATTGAAGCTAGGTATAAATAATATACGCTAGCTTTAGAATAGGAACTAGTTAGAAGAATAGGAAAGTTGAGGGTTTAACCCTAATTTATGAGGTAAAGTCACGAATGGTGAATGCTGATGCAATCACCTCCCAAAATTCAGGGCAACGGGGGAAATCAAGTTCTCTTGCTGGGAAGTTTTTGAAGTTTTAGAGCCAGGAAACTGACAGGAAAGAGGCAGGATTTCCTTGGCATCCTTTTCCTAATAAATCATGTTCTTTATTGCCCAGCAACTTGGAAGAGAAGAACTAGAAAGGCTTTGCCCTTCCTGAGTAGAGACTAAAAACATCTGGGAGTAAGAGGTGCAGGGAAGTCAGGCAGTGGGTGTAGAGAAAGAGGGAGAAAAACCCAGAGTCCTGAAAAGAGTTCTATTAACAATTCCATGTTTCCAATTGCTGGGTATTATGGACTGAATGTGTCCCACAAAAATACGTGTTGTAAATCCTGGTGGTGCATGGTTAAGTGCTCAGCTGTTAACAAAAAGGTCGGTGGTTTGAACCCACCAACTGCACTGCAGGAGAAAGATTTAGCAGCCTGCTTCTGTACAGATTGTTGTTGTTAGGTGTCATTGAGTCGGTTCCAACTCACAGGGACCCTGTGTAAAACGGAGTGAAGCTGCTGCCCTATCCTGCACCATTCTCACAATCATTGATTGTTATGTTTGAGCCCGTTGTTGCAGCCGCTGTGTCAATCTGTCTGGTTGAGGGTCTTCCTCTTTTTCACTGACCCTCTCCTTCACCAGCATGATGTTCTTCTCCAGGGACTAGTCCCTCCTGACGGATGTCCAAAGTCGGTGAAATGAAGTATCACCATCCTTGCTTCTAAGGAGTATTCTGGCTGTACTTCTTCCAAGACAGATTTGTTCATTCTTTTGGCAGTCCATGGTATATTCAATATTCTTCACCAACACCATAACTCAAAGGTATCAATTTTTCTTCAGTCTTCCTTATTCATTGTCTAGCTTTTGCATGCATACAGGCAACTGAAAATACAATGGCTTGGGTCAGGTGCACCTTAGTTCTCCAGGCAACATCTTTGCTTTTTAATACATTAAAGAGGTCTTTTGCAGCAGATTTGCCCAATGCAGTATGTCATTTGATTACAGCCTTGGAAACCCTATGGGGGCAGTTCTACTCTGTTCTATAGGGTCGCTATGAGTCAGAATCTAGGGCAATGGGTTTATACCTGTGGTGGTAATCCCATTTGGGAATTGGGTTTATTTGTTATGTTACTGAGGCCATACCAGTGTAACGTGTGTCTTGAACCCATTCACTTTCGAGATATAAGAAGAGCAGATTAGGCATAGAGAAGCAAGTACAAATGGAGGAGAGGATACATGACACGCAGAGATCTCCAAGGAATCAAGGAATGCCAGATCTACGGAAACTGAAAGAGAGCTTTCCCTCAGAAGACACAGAGCGAGCCTTTCCCTAGAACTGGTACCCTAAATTCAGACTTCTAGCCTCCTAAACTGTGAGAAAATAAATTTCTGTTTTTTAAAACCACCCACTTGTGATATATCTGTCATAGCAGCATTAGCAAATTAAGACACTGGGCAAGGGCTGTTCCTTAGCTCAGGTCCCTGCAGCCTAGTTTAAAGCCAGTTACACTTCATCGTATAAATGGTTACAAAAGTACTGCTCCACAATGGCAGGAGGATTGTTCTGTTCTCGCCTTCTGAATGGATAGTTTGAGTGTGCCTTCTTTTCTTCTTATACCTTGTCCACACTCTCCATCTGAGGAGCACACATACCTCTGTCCAGTCAGAGAGAAGCCACTCGCTGGGGCAGTCATCTTTCCTGCAGGCTTGCTGGGAGGCCAGTTTTGAGGCCGAACAGAAGGTTTCAGGAAGCTCCAAGAAGCTGCCATCAGCCATGCGCTGCTTGCACAGAACCTCACGTTTCTGCACACCCCCTCCACATGTCCTGGAACACTAGGGAAGGAAGGAAGAGAAAGTCAACCCAACACAGGAAAGTAGGCTGTTTTGACCACTGAGTCTTAAACCTTCACTTAGCCTTTCCTGAGAGTGAAAAAAGAAAAAATTGAAAAAGAAGAAAAACTCAGGAACTAGACCAAAGAATTTTGCTTCCTTTAAGTGAATTTTGTAGCAAGATCTATATACTCCACCCTTAGTCCCAAGTATTTAACTAGAGCATCCAGGAATTTCAAGGGCCTTTAAATTTTACAAAGTTGTTCTGGAACTATGATTTGCAAGATAATTGGTTTAAAAGGTTAATAAAGTGTTAAACATATTTATGATCCAGTGAAAATAATCTATGCTGCTTCCAGAATGAACAAGAGCCATCAGCATACATCTGGAGGTATTAATCTGCAGAGAAGACAGCCCTTTCTCTCTTTTCCTTCAGTTAGGTACCCACTCTACCACACTGGGCAGTCATTCGATTTAGGGCCTAGATTTCTGAAGAGCTCCATTGGAATCCTTTTCTTGCAGCCTCAGTGATTTCTTAGGGCAGTGGAAGCCATATCCACTGAATTTGGGATGTAAGAAAAATGGTCTCATTCCAGGGATTTTCAGCAGGACCTTGATCAAACACATGGTTTATATGTAACTTAATAGTTATAATCTAGCTGCATGGGGGTCAATGGAGGCCAGAGGCCCCAGTTTTTAGGTGGGGACATGATTTTTCTGAATAAAGATGATACTTGCCAACCTCCATTTAAAATAGATGTGGTTCTGGACAGAGCTGGAGAAGGATGTAGAACGAAATTCTAACTCACAAAAAAAAAAAAAGACCAGATTTACTGGCCTAAAGGGGACTGGAGAAACCCTGAGAGTATGGCCCCCAGACACCCTTTTAGCTCAGTGGTGAAGTCATTTCCGAGGTTCACCGTTCAGCCGGGGAGAGGACAGCCCCATAAAACCAAATGGGACTAATGAGGCACAGCAGTCCAGGGACAGGGGCCAGAAGGCAGAAGGGGACAGGAAAGCTAGTGATAGGGAACCCAAGGTTGAGTAAGGATAGTGTGGATGTGTTGTGAGGTTGTTAACCATTGTCATAGGGCAACATGTATACTGTTAAATGAGAATGTATTTTGTTCTGTAAGCCTTCATCTAAAGTGAGAATAGCAGCACAACTGGAAGAGCGTAGCTGATGTCGCTGAACTGTGCATGTAGAAATTTTTGAAATGGTGTATCTTTGGCTATGTATATGTTCACCAAAAAAAAAAATAAGGTTGAGAAGGGAGAGGGTTGACATGTTGTGGGGTTGTTAACCAATGTCATAAAACAATCTGTGTACTACTGTTTCACGAGAAACTATTTGTTCTGTAAGCCTTCACCTGAAGTACAATAAAAAAATAAAATACAATAAAATAGACGTGGTCATGACTATGGAAGGGTTGTGTGCAATTTCAAGGAAGTGTCTGCTAGGAGAGTCTGGCATCTTTTCCCTTCCCTTTCCCCTTCTTGCTGACTGGAGAACGTGATGTCTGAAATTTAAGCTTCCATCTTGGATTGTGATCGGCAAAAAGACAGTGGTTCAAACACACACCAGCTGCTCCCAGGGAGAAAGATGTGGCAGTCTGTTTTTGTAAGCTTTACAGCCTTGGAAACCCTATAGGGCAGTTCTACTTTGTCCTATTGGGTCACTATGAGTCAGCAAGGGGTATAGCTGTAAAAGTTTTAGGGAGGACTCTGCTTTCCTCCAGTTGCTGTGAGTCAATTCCACCTCACAGAGACCCCATGTGTGTCGGAGTAGAACTGTGCTCCACAGGCTTTTCAATGGCTGTGATCCTACTGAAGTAGATCACCAGGCCGCTCTTTCCAGGAACTGCTAGGTGGATTCAAACTGCCAACCTTTCAGTTAGTAGCTAAGAGCTTAACTGTTTGAGCCATCCAGGGTATGGTGCAAACAGTTAATGCACTCAGTTGCTAACCTAAAGGCTGGTTGTTCGAGTCCACCCAGAGGCACCTTGAAAGAAAGGCCTGATGATCTACTTCCAAAAAATCAGCCTTTGTAAACCCTACAGAATGCTCGCTTCAGCAACACATACACTAAAATCAGAATGATACAGAGAAGATTAGCAAGGCCCCTGCGTACGACAACATGCAAATTTGTGAAACGTTCCATATTTAAAAAGAAAAAAGAAAACCCTAGAGAGCGTAGTTCTACTCTGACACACATGGGATTGTCATGAGTTGGAACTGACTCTATGGCAACATTTTTTTCTTCCTTTTTTCTGCTCTCCTCCTTCACTTGCTGCCCATGGGCTTGCTGTGGAATTAGGCCTGGGTTTAAAGGCCTGAGAGTCTGTGTTGAAGGAGAAGCTCCTGCGGCAACAGTGCCCCTCTCAGAACTCGCTGTGGGCTATGCTCAGGAGGTTGTACTCAGAACTGCAAGGGGGGTTTTTGCCCACAGTCTTAGGGTGGTGATAACATGTCCTTGAGTATAGTCAGAATGCTGCTGGGGTCTTCGTGGGTCTCGACACTGGGTGCACTTTAAAATCACCTGGGGAGCTCTTAAAAGTACTGACGCCTAGGTCTCACCTCAGAATAAGAAACTCTGGGAGGTGGGGTCCCAGACATCGGTTTGTGTTATTTTTTTAAGCTCCCCAGGTAACTGCACTGTGTAGCCAGGGTTGAGAACAATCTCTCCGCAGTAACTCCCCTCCACCTTTCCAATGGGAATAAAATAAACATGGAGGAGAAAACCTTGGGCCCAGAGAGTTCTCTGCTAGAGACCCCACTGGAGCGAATATACTCTGTTTGCAGTTGTGAATGGCTTGAGGTCACAGAACTACTGGATAATGAAGTTAGAAAAGCTATCAACTTTGTCTAGTTAGGCCTTTAAAAGCTAGAGCCTTTCAAACCATCCAAACCAGTGGTAATAAATCTTTTTTGCATTAAAATTTTTTTAATATTTGAAATGAAAATAACCTTATTGATTCTCATAGAAGAAAATGTACTTTCCTTGTGACTCAATATGGCTGGGATCAACTACCTACCTGTTGAATAAAACACGACTAACAAAAAAGGTGAAATCACCTTATGAGGCAGGTGTCATCCCCACTTTACAGATTAAAAAACTGAGGCTCAGAGCCATAAAGTGACCTAAGGCCACACAGAATTGGCTTATTTCTATTCAGTGCAACATTTACTGAGCAGCTACTAAGCACCGTGCTTTGGGCTGGGGGTTGTGGGTACAGCTGGGAGAACAGCTGAAACTAGGTTTCTCTCTCCTGTGGTATGGAAACTCCTCTCTGCTTGCAGAACCCGTGGAGGGTGCTCCGGCTGCTGCTTCGTGCTGAGGGGCCCATGCCTCATAAGCACCAAGCCTGCAGAGCGCCTGGTCTCTCATACCACAGGGGGGGTGGTGCTTTGCAATGGTGACCATCTCTAACTGGCAAAAGCTGGTCCATGATCCATCCTAAAATAGTTCGTCCACATTGTGGTGGCCCTGAAAAATGTTTTCCCTCAATATTTGATTCTGAGTTGAAAGGCTACATTTGAACACATCTCTTAGGCTATGTCATGAACCTGGGGCAGGGGGTTGGGGGTGGACTACATGTGGTGGTCTACAGGCCAGTCGTTATTCACCACAGATCTGGTTTCTTCCAAGGGGTTGTCTACCATGTGCTTTATCTTCATTAAGGACCAATCTAGGGTCTTAGAGCCAATGACTCAAGCTGTGAGTAGCCCAGGACTTTGGCTTCTCTGTGGTGACTCCCTGGCATTTTCACTTATTAGAGAAGCAATCCTTTTGTTTTAGCTCTTATTCAGTAGCAGTTGAGAAAATCTTAAAGGATTTCACTTCTTTAACTCATTTTGTACTCCCACTGTCTTGCCCAGTGCCTTCTGCAAACTTAAGCCCTCCTATAAATGTTTATGGAACTGTAGCTGGTGGTTGAGGAAAATTTAAATTAGTGGCTAAGAATCCCATTTACTTAGCAGAACTCTTCTTATAACTATGGATAACTAAGGTTTTAAAGTTTGTTGCATGACTTGATTTCTTAGGTTCAGCCTTCTGTTATTTCTGTCAAATTCTCACTTCTAACCAACTAGTTATTCTATAATCAGACTAGTTATAACCTCTTATTACTTAGTCCTTCCTTAGAACTTATTTTTTTATAACTAGACAACTAACCATGTGAATTACTGATTTCCTAAGGATGCCAAATTTAGGGACTGTGTTCACTATAATTCTTCCCATTCTATGAATTATTAAAATTACTCCATGAACATAACGCAATTTTGTTAAAACTGTAATTATCTGCAACAAATATACGCTGATAAATCAAAAATTTAAATATTAAACTCTAGGCTCTCTTCTATGCCTACTCAACATGTCACTTAACTGTGAATAGACATCTTGACCTAACTATGTTTAAAATGGAACTCTTGATTCTACCCTCCCAGCTTCACCCCCAATCTGCTCCTTTCTTAGTTACTTCATTCATTCAATGGTGCCTCATCCAGGGCAAAAACTTAGGCAATACCTTTGAGATTTTTCTTTTTCTCATCACCTCTCCCCTTACACCCAATCCATGAGTACGCACTGCCAGGTTTACCTACAAAATAAACAAGCTTTACCTCAAAAATAAATGTCATTCGAAATAAATATCCAGGTTGGGGACCAGCATTCTAAAATAGTTCATCCTAAATAAATGCCACCTTTTCTTGCCTACACTACTGCAAGCTTCCTAACCAGTCTCAGTTTCTAGTTTTATCAATCAGGTCCCAGCAGGATATAAATGATAATTTGAACAAGATACTTTGAAGAGAGTTCCTCCCTCCTGTTAGTCTGAGGAAGTGCCCCATTGGCTGAATACCAAAAACGAGAGGGCAAGGGAGCTTACTGAATCAGTCTGTATAGGTCAGCTTCCTGGGGCACAGGTAGAGAAGGGTGAGGAGTGGATCTAGAGGAGCAATGGAAGATATTCAGCACATCACTCTTACTTCCCTGTAGTCCGTTCTATCCACACAGTAGCAAGAGGGATATCTTTAAAGCATAAACCAGATCATATAATTCCCATGCTTAAAACTTTCCAATGGCTTCCCCTTGTAATTAGAATAAAATCCAAACTCCTTTAACCCTGCCCTGAAAGCCCCACATGTTCTGGTCTTTGTCTTTCTCTGCAATCTCGTATCATACAACTTTCCTCTTTCCCTGTATATTTCAGTCACACTGATCTTTTTGTTCCTTGAACATGCCATGCTTGTTCTTCCCTCAGGGCCTTTTCACTTACTCTTCTCTCTACTTGGAACACTATTTCCTTAGATCTTCATGTGGCTGAGTCTTTCTAATTATTCAGGTTCAATTCCATTGTCATCTGCTTGGTGAGGCCATCCCTGCCCTTCCTAACTACAGTGGTTGAATCAGTCTCTATGCCATTATCTGATTTTACTTAACAGCTCGCTTCCCTTTTAGAAATTATTTCCCATTAAACTATTACTTCCACTAAGAACAGGATTTTACTTCTCTTGTTCACTGCTGTAGAACCATACTTGGTTCATGACTGGTATTTAATAAATTTGTGAATGAATAAATGAAGTTGGAAGGGATTGAGTTAATCTGTAAATCTCATCAGGACAGGGACTAAATCCATCCTGACTACTGTATTTCTAGCACACACCCAAAATATTTAGTGAATGTTAATTATCAGAGAAATTTCCATTTGTTAGCTAGTGAGGTTAGCAAAGGATGAGTAGTTTTTTCATCGTGAGAGCTTTAAAAACAAAATAGTTACCTATTTGTTTGCTATGAATTAGAGGTGCATCCTGTTTTGGAAAAGGAGATTGGATTCTAGATGACCAATTCTGGTGAGCAGGGAGGGGTCATATGTTTCAATGTAATTTAATAAGTATTTATTAAGCATCTGTTAAGTGCAAGATACAAAACTAGGTGCTTTAAAAAAAAAAAGATTCAGAGAAAAAGATAAGTTTTTAGTGTGAGGACCTTACAGTCTAGGGGAAAAGACAGACACGCACACAATCAACAGTGACACAAGGCAGGAGATGGTAAGCATTTCAACAGAAGCATAAATAATGGTTCAGGGGAGCATGGGAGAATCGAGCATTAATTTAGATTGGGCAGATGTGAGAAGGCTTCATAAAGATGTCATTTATGTAAGCCTGGAGGAATATATACATAGGATTTCAACAAATGTGAAGTGATGAAAATTTTAACAGTCAAAACAGTAGGAAAAAAGGCACAATGACTGGAAAGTCAACGCCTATTCTGAGAATGGTAGGTAGTCTCTTGAGGCTTGAAGGTGAGGTCTTGGGGGAGGGGTGTAATTGGAAATAAGTCTTGAAAGGGGGTAGATTGAGGTCTAATCATAAAGGGTCTTAAATGCCAGGTAAGGAGGTATTGGAGTACTCTAAGATGCTCATGTATGTACAGCATGGGTTAAGCGCTCCATCTGTTGGGCAGGCGGTTGGTTTTTTGAGTTCCTACCAGCTCTTTCCATGTCTGTTAGTAATACCTCATATTTCTCTCAGAATCATGAAAAAATCCAATTATTCCACTGTTTAAAGCAATGTTATAAAAAGAAGCATTCATCATATTAAGTGCTTGAGAACTGCATTCAAAACTTTCTCCCAGTATATACCTTTAATAAGAGACTAGAACTGAATAAATCCATCCACAGCTTTCCTTTTCCACATCCTTTCTCCTTCTTTTCTTTCTTTTAAAATTAATGATTTGTTTGGTTTCTAGTAAAGAAGTGGCTAGGGTATGAGCTAAACAGTAGGGTGACATTTTATAAATGACGCTGGATATGTGATGTCTTGATATGATCCATAAATATTTACACTGTAGTAAAAATGCAGTGTATTTTTCTATGAGAAAAGTAATGGCTGACTCATAAAATCATTATCCCCTAAACCTCAAAATGACATCAAACAACGTTTCTTTAAATTCTCTTCTTATAATTCACAGTCAAATTCCCTCTTGGTCCCACTGAATCCATCAGGCATAAGGAACATGCTCCTGAAATTTCTGTTACCCAATGACTGACATTTTAGGGGCTTCACTAGTAAAATGGATTTTAGGAGTATGGATCTCTTCAGTGCTTGATGGTTAAAATTTTCTTTTTCTAAGTATTTTATGAGGCACATGGGCTTCTGTTTGATAGG